CCTTTGCGCAGAATACAAATATTGCCAATTTTTTCCTGTTATGCATGAGCCCATTTAAGCTTTATAACTCAATATTTGTGTCACAGACACTTTGGAAAATTATTCCAGTGAAGCCAGACATTTGGAAATTCAATTTCAGAATTGTTTAGGAATTAAATTTCGGAATTTAGGAACGCTAGTGCCTATATCAGCGCAAAGGGGTTAAAGTGGTAAAGGTCTTGCAAGATTTCCTTAGTTTTAGGCAGGGTCTTCAGTTGTCTCACAGCTCCTTTGTAGCTGCTGGTTGTCACCTTCCTAGCTTTGTCGACCAAGACTCCATCTCTGCAGAGCCCAGAGCTTTCATCATCTCCAGTCCTCACCTCGCCACAAATTGTCTGCACTTGGCTGGGGATTGGACACTAAGCACCAACTAAATTCTAATCTTAGAGACGGCATATTTCGCTGATAAAGCAAACCGCAGCGCGGAGCGTATATAATCCAACTGAACAAGGCTCTCTCGTTCCCTTTACCCACAATCCTCACATCCCCGCTGTACTTATTTCCTGATAAGTCCTGAGTGAAGTTTCCTCATCTGTGCAGGTAGTGCCACATCATGTTGTGTCAACTTTCTTTGAATAAGCTGACTCTCCAAGGTCCCTGATTACGTGCAGGCTGGTAGACAACATGTGCAGGCTCCCCGCTCTGAAAGAGAGTGATTGGTCCTCGAGCTATGTGCTTTGATGCACTGTCTCTCGCACATTTTTGTCAATGTCGTGCAGATCTTCAAATCTGTGCAAAAGCACCAAGAAAAAGAGTCAGTAGAGGTCAGATTCAATCAAGGTGAAAAGCCATCAAAAATGCTCCCATTGTGGAGGTACCAGACACATTCAACGCCACCAAAACATCAAACGCCTTTGACAGTTCAGTAATTTTTTTTTTTTCTCTCACAGAAAGAAATGCTTCATGTCATTCAAAACAAGTTTGACCTCAGTGCCCGCTGCCTTTAGCCAAAAGAAATGAATACATTTTATTATTTTTTTTTCATCTTTGAGGTACCCTACAGTTCAGAAACTGAACACTTACGCTGGAAAAATACTCCCACGCAGCTCAGTTGATGTCCTATGCATTGCTTTTATCAATTATTCTAATTTAGTGCAGATGTCTACACAACCTGCTTTTAATTGTACGTCAAGGGTAAAGGTCCACAAAATGGTGTCTGAAAAGCATAGAGAATAAAATTGAAATTAATCTTGGGAACGCATTGTGATGACTGGGTTTTTTGGCTTCTGGGGCACAATTTAACGTGTACAATTTGCAAACATTGTTTCTTTCTTTTATGGTTGAGTTTAATCTGGCTGGTTTGGAGGGTGCTAGGTTATGTGCGTGTGAGTGTGTGTGTGTACGTGTGTGTGCGTGCCTGCATTTGTTTGTGTATTTGTGTAAGCGTGTGCATGTACACTCGTGTGTTAATGATCTTGTAGGGGTGAGGCAGAACTTGTGTGTGTATGTTAGTGTGCTTGAGTGGCTTAGAAAGAGTGCTTGTGGGTGTGTGTTTTGTGTACGTGTTTCTGTGTGTTCCTGTGTATCCTGTGTCCTTATTTCTTGCACTCTGCGGGTGTTTTTTTTGGCTGAGACGCTTGACTCCTTCACTATTGCTTCATCCCAGCGCAGTCCAATGAGGGCAGTGGTATGCTTGGGGAAGAGGGAGGTTAGAGTGGCAGACTTCCAATTTTGTCTTAATAATGTCGTGCCTTCATGGAGGTCTGTACTGGAGGGCGCCCATTGAGAACATGGTGTTTGTTTTCCCAGCACTAAACTCAGCTGCTGAGTCCCAGAGGTGTCTGCCAGACTCCTTAACCCTCCAACCTGAATTTCTGTTCTTAAACCAGGAGAATCAGAGAACTGTCCTTTGACCAAAGGCTTTGCTTGGATATAGTGAATCATCCATCCTGTATCTTAAATTGGGCTTGGCTCTGTGGTGCAGTACTGCTGCTCTCCTGAGTGTCATGTCTATTTAGGGTCTACACTTCACTGATTGATGTTTCCGGAAGCCTGTTCTGGTCATGCACAATTAAGACAACGGTGGGATACTTTGAGAAAATACACTTGTGTTCACTTGTATTGTTTACAGAAGTCTACTCTGTAGATTGGGTGGCTTGGGGAAAATGCGCTGCTTTATTTATTTATTTATTTATTTATTTATTTTTTGTGGAGCCAGGTGTGTTGTATTTTCATACCTTAATTTATGCCCATTTTTTACCCCCACAAAGTCACTGTTCTTATTTGGATTTTTTTTTGGCCTGGAGGGAACAAAGCTCTTTCCTGTGTACTGAATTACAATGGGTGTGGTGAAAGTAAAAACCGTGAAGCGGATTTATGTCAAGGTCGCGTGTCTCTCTGTGTCACTTTTTCAGCAGCCCGCTAGACCAATTTGTCTTTGTTAATACAGCATTTGTACAGCTCTGGATTGGAACAGAGGATCTGTGTGATTCGCCCGGCTGTCTCTCTGGACTGCGTCTTCATTCATTTGATTCCTCTTCCACCCCCCCACCTACCCTGGATCAATTAATCAATGAACAGAACTAATCAGAGAATAGCGCACTGCCTTGTGTTATGTGTGGCTTTGAGTACATTGAGATTTATTGTGACGCTCGAGCAGTAGTGTCTCCGCGCCATGTGCACCGTTCACATAGATGTTTAAGATGGACTTATTGATCTTGGTGGTAATTAGGACGGAGTGAGTGCTGGAATTCTAACATGTTGCTGAGCTGTGAATAATTTAGTGCGCACAGCATGTAATTGCCCTTTGAAGTTCTTCTTTGAAGCAGTCCCCCACCATTCAAAAAAAAACACGTAAGTGTTACAGCTTTTTTGCTAAGTACTTAAATATGTACCCAAATTACCTAAGCCTGATGGAAACTTAAGGTAATAGATACATTGTGATTGAATTAAAACATTGTGTGGTATCAAGTAGAAGGAAAAAATGTATTGTTCAAATACGTGGACAGGTGTATTTAATTTCTAATCTGTTTGGAAAATGTGTATATGTTGCCTATAGGGTAAAGAATAGTTGGCAGGTGTTCTTTTATTTCTGGAACACATTCGCTGACGGAGCTCCTCAGCTTTTACATTGAAACACTGGCTGTTTCTCAACTTACAGAATAAGTAGTAGTGTGACTCTTTTTATTTTGTCGAATCCATCTGATTTGCATGATTAAGTCTCCGTTTTTTGAGAAATTTCTTTAGATGTCTTTTTTTTTTTTTTGCTAGTTTTATATCTCCATACTGGATGAGTTACTTTGTGATTCGAAAACACAACTATTCTTGCTAAGACTATGTTTTGCACAGAAAGAAATTTCGTTGATAAAACAATATGAGAATGTAATGACCTTTCTCTGGGTGAACATGGGTAACATATGAGAGGTCAGGCATTTGGTTTGGTTTACAGGTCACCTAGAACAGTAAAGATGGCTGCTCTCAGGTGTGGAAGATGGTCAATCTTCCATTCCTGCAGATCTCCTCCGTTCCATCATTTCAGGTTTCACAGGGCCCTAACACTGCAGACAGACAGGGAAGAAAGACTGTCATAGGCATGCAAAGTCCAAAAAGTAGGCAGGACATTATGTATTAAATGAAACAAAATTAATTTGACTCAATGTCAGACCAAATGCGTGCAATTTTGAGGCTTTTCCTGAATATTTTGTTGACGAGTTCTCTCCCTGCTTACCACCTTTTTCAAGAGGCATCATTTAAAGCATTACCTTTGGGAGCAACGCACAATTTCACTCAATTCTTGAAGGGCAGATTTGATTCAGTAAATGCACTCACTCTCACACTGTGCCACTTTTATGATACAAGATGCTGTCTTAACCCTTTTCATTCTGTTTTCTGGGTAGGTGGAAGCCTCTTTCCAAGTGCATTATAAAATGTTTGTATTTTGGTCAAAGTTGTTCGTCAATTAAATTATCTTCTGACCTGTGGCTGATAAGTGTGGCCTCCATGTAGTACAAGTTGAGTAAGTGTTGAATTCCCCCCCTCCCCCGTACAGTGCCCTCAGGAATTATTAGCCCCCTTTGTGAAAATCAGCAAAACAGACTGTGAAAAAAATGTCTTTGCTGTTTTACCTCATCATCCTTCACTCAAAATAATTTTAAAATGTACCTTTTCATTGAAGTAAAATTATTGAAAGAAAAAATGTTGACCTTAAATAAATATTTTTCTCTAAAATATGTGCCACAATTATTGGCACTCCTAGAAAATCCTATGATTAAAATCTAACTGAAGTATATTTCCAGAAAAATTTTATATTTTTATGTTCACCTGTTCGATCAGAATTTTTTTGTTAGTCACTCATGACTTTGTTTCACTGTGGTATAAACGTGAGGTGACACAGGCCAAATTCTCCCAGTATATCATCATTATGAAAAAGACCCAAGAACACAGTGAGGAAAAGTTGTTGACTTGCGCAAATCAGAAATGGATTTGAGAAAATAGCTAAATGGCTGAAAATACCCATTTACACAAACTGGGCAATAATTAAGTAGTTTTAAGTGATAGGAGATGTTGACACTCAGCCTGGAAATGGACAGGTGTACCACGACACAACACACTGCGAGGAAGATGGTTTGACTGGCCAAAAAACTGCAAGGATCACTGCTGGAGAACTTCTTTTTTTTTGATAAAAATTTGGCATCTCCAATCCTATCCGCGTCTGGAAAGCCCAATTAGCGAACTCTGTACACAAGCATGCTGGTATGTGACCCATGTTTCCATTGCGGGAGAGCGAGACAGCTGTCAGCACGCGCCTGTCACCCACTGCCTCATTGACAGCCATAGCTCGAAACTTCGCAGCTCAAAATGAGGGCGAAAGATACCTGAACGTGTGCAAGCTTAGAATTTTTCTGACGAGTGCTTGGCTGGCCAACAGGAGGTGCTTGAGCGACGAACAATGCCGTAATCCTATAATACCAAACCGGCAGTCCCTCCCAGTTTATTTCCCTGCTAGTGGCTACTGCCGGCACTGGCAAAACCGGGGATTGAACCCGGGCCATGGTAGTCACCACTGCTCCGCAAGGCAGCGCCTTAACCAAGTGAGCTAACCCGGTAGTCTACAACTGGAGAACTGCAGTGGTTAGCTGAGTCTTGGGATCAGAAAGTCCCCAAAACTACCATCATACAGCACCAAAATCCCCACAAGTTGTTTGGGAGGGTTACCAGAAAAAAGCGTCTGCTGTCCATCAGCATCAAACTAAAGCGCCTACTGACTTTCAATGGGACTAGGTTATAGAGTCAGACGAGACAAAAATAGAGCCTTTTGGCAACAAACATCAAAGATGGGTTTGGTGTAGATAGTAAAATAGACATACCTCTTATCCACCAGTGAAATATGGCGGTGGATTTTTGATGTTGTGGAGCAGTTTTTCTCTGAAGGCCCTGATCTTTTTAGGGAACATGGTGTCATGTACTCCATCAAATACCTGCGGGTATTAAGTGAAAACCTTACACCCTTAGCAAGGAGGCTTATATTGGGTTGTGGTATTTCAATGATTTTGCTTCAATTAAAGGCTAGATTTTGGGAATATTTATATTTTCAAAACTATGTTACAATAAAATCACCATCATCACCATGTCCGAGTCTACCGAGATCCTTCCTGTGAACACGATAACTCAAAAATTATTTTATAGATCTCTGTCAAATTTTATATGCCTTTAGATCATATCAAGACGTAAAGCTGGATTGATAGTTGGCTTTGTATTATTCATCATAATAAATTATGAACTAATTAATTTCCTGGAACAGCTGAGTCCCATTATTTTACCTTATATGTAAGGAATATCACCTTGAAAGTTTTTCACTCATAATCAATTATTACTGAATACTACCGCAAAAATTTCAACAGATAATCAATAAGTTAAGTAGTTAAATTTGTCCCTGACCACATGAAAAATAGTAATGTGTATTTTTCATTATTAATGAGTAAATATAGGCAGTCAGAGCGTATATAAGATAAAATTAGGGTCCATTTTAAATTATTTAATAACTTAAAGCAATTAGTTGAGTAGTTAAATTTATTTCTGACTCATTAAAAAATAGTTGTGTATTTTTCATTAATATTGAGAACATGTGGGCAGTCTGAGCATATCTGAGATAAAAACGGGTTCAGTTTCAAATAGTTTAAAGAGTTAAAATCGTTAATTTTATCTAAGAATCTCAGAAAAAAATAGTGTATTTAGTGTACAGTATGTAAGTGCATTTTTCATCAGTAATGAGTTACTGTGGGCAGTTTTAGCATATCTACCACAGAATGAGTTGAGTTTATAATAATTTAAAGGGGTAATACAATGCTTGGACAAAACTTATTTTTTAGTGGAATTAATCTTGTCATCCATGCTGTCTGGGGCAATACTGTTGCTAAGCTTTCTTTTTGGGGAGTTTTCGCTTTGGGGCTTTTGCTGATATAACCTTTGCTTTTGGGGGCGACAGTGTAGGCCTTGTTTAAACGAAAGACTGCGAGGATAAACAATAAAGACATTTTTTTGCAACTCGTTTTGTACATTTTGCTGATGGGTGCCGGTAGTTCTGGAGGGCACAGTATTGGCAATTGCAAAAGTACAATTTAAGAAGAGAAATGCGAGAATAGGGATGCTTTTGTAATCTTTGTAATGTAGGTGGATAAATTCCATTTCCTGATGAACAAATATCAAAACAAGACTCATACTTGACTAACATGTCCCTTGAGAGAAACTCCTTCTACTGCAAAATAGACTTATTTGAAACTGTTCCAATAGTTTTTCTCTTCGATCCAATCTCTGAAACTGTGCTGTCTTTTGTCACATTTTTTTTAATAAAGTGGCGAGTAAGTTTGAGTCCAATTACCCCCTTTTAAGAAAAGCTGAGCATTTATTTACTTATCCTTTTTCAAACTAGTTATCTATTCATGTAATTGTCTCTCTGGTCTTGTTTTTGATGGGGGGTAATTTGGGTACAGCCATCCACTTCTTTATAATCAAGATTAAGGGCCTGTTTTGTAACCACCAATTCCGCTGCTTCCTGGACTGAATTCTATTTTTAATCGAGAATCTCTGCGCAATACTTAGTTTAGTCCAATTCAGTCTGTGTTAGTGAAACTGACCCAATGAGCAACATTGAAACCAATGTTGAATCCAGTCCATTTTACCTTCTGCATTCTAACGTCACATAATTTTATCGTCATTCATCCCCACAGGCATCCTCTACAAGGGGAATGGAGAGAATGTGTTCATTACCCAGCAGCCCCCTGTGATAAGCACCATCATGGGTAACGGACGGCGCCGGAGCATCTCCTGCCCCAGTTGCAACGGCCAGGCAGACGGTAACAAGCTGCTGGCCCCAGTTGCACTGGCTTGCGGCATTGACGGCAGTCTGTTTGTGGGAGACTTCAATTATATCCGCCGCATCTTCCCATCCGGGAACGTCACCAGCGTTATGGAGCTGAGGTAGGGGAGACCAGCACGGCTGAGCAATGTCCAAAACGACCTTCAGTCTGGAGATTTTGGCAGCCCAAATCACGTGCAAGGGTAACACCATAGCTACACTGTAAACCCTGACTAGTGTGGTGAACTCAAATGTTCTGCGGAAACCAATTACCTCAAAAAAATTCAGTATGCCAACTTAATGGTCTTGTGTTCACAGCACTTAAAAGCATGTAACAAATAACTTTACCTTATTTGCTTTAAGTTCCTTCCACACAATGCAGTTAAGTTGGCCTACACAATTTTTTTGAGGTAATCGGTTTCCACAAAACATTTGGGTTCGCCACACTATCAGGGTTTACAGTGTAGGAAAAAGGTTCTTGTTGTGGGACCCTTCTTGTTTAATGAAATATGTGGGCCAGCTCCAGCTTTGGCCCCTACTAAGCTATGGACCTGTAGATATGTCACCTCCTTGCCCCCCACTGGGAATGCCACTGCCCTGGGGATATTTTCATACCAAAGAATATGGGAAGGAGGGGAGTATCAAAACTACGGTTGCCGCTGTTAAAGCCTTCTTTCTTTGCTTCAAGCAGAATTTATTTTGTATAAAGCATGAAATACTGACTGATAATATTAATACCCTGTTCTCATATGTACGAAAAATGCTCTCGCGACAAATTAGCCGAGCTCAGTATGCTAAACAGCAGTCGCAGAATACAGTACATTGCTGTTCTTGCAGGAGCTTTGCCATTAAATTCCAGAGGAGTGGAATTTCAAGACATTTCGTAAGCCCTTGATAATATAATTATGGCTGTCCATTAAGCCCAATCCAGTATATCCCTGTGTTTAACTAGATTTCATAGGTCTTTAAATTGACATTTTAATAATTGAACAGCCATTCTTATGCAAACGGGATTGTGCAGTTTATATAGATGGGTTTTAGTGAGGCAGGCCAGTCCATGTGCCTTGTTCCTGGATGAAATAAAGCTCTTCTACTCCTTAGAAGCCCAGTTCAGTACACAATTGCCAGGATCATTTTCCTCATCTCCCTTTCACCTAACAACTCTGTAATCAAGGTGATGTTCTGATCGCCAATCAGCTCTAAGTGCCCTTGAGAAGCGCTAGCTTTCACCTGGATGCAGTTTTTCCTTCTTATCAAGTCTTAGGGGACTCTATTTCAAGTATACAGATACACTGTTTGGCCAAAAAAAAAAGTTGCCATTTGGATTTTAATAGGCAAATACTTAAGAGACTATGATTGGATGATTACTGCTGTGATTAATGTTTCAGCTGGAAAATTATTTTTATCCCAACTGATGAAGTGCGTAGCTTTGCATTTCTTGAACAACCACAGTGGTAGGTGTATCCTATGGTTGTGGAAAAGATGTTACTGTTTTTCAGAAGGGGCAAATTGTTTCCCTGCATCAAGCAAAGAAAACAACTAAGGAGATCACGGAAATCACTGAAATTGGGTTATGAACTCTGCAACACAGTATTAACCACACTGAAAGCCATTTGGATGTGCTGGAGAAGAGTTTCCAAAGTGGTTTGACTCTTCCATGTTCAATCCAACATCTCAGCCAAAAATTAATTAAACTCTGGACATAAATAAATATTGTGTGTTGCATAAGCTTGCGGAAACAGTGCCTAGATGAATGCACACTTTAATCAACGCTAAAGGCAGTCCAGCTAAATGTTAGCATGTTACTTTGTTTTGACCAGGCAGTGTAGTTACCACAATTATTTGCATAGGGAATAAAGTAGCTGATGCAAAGCAATCTGGACCAGGGGTCTCGAACTCTAATCCTTAGGGCCACAATCTCTGCGGCTTTTCAGGATTTCCACTCAATCAGTGACTAATTAATGCCTTGGTATAAGACTCTTTAGCCAATCAGTGACTTCAATTAAGCACATAATTGATGGAACACATTGGAAAAACTAGCAGACCGAGTGGCCCTCCAGCAGATATTTGCAGTAAGATCTCTGTGGCTCATTCTTATCCCTCACGTACACTCGCCCACACTAAATCAGATCCATTCAAAACATTCAAAAGTGGCTACACTCGGCAAAAGTACAGTGAATTTACAGTTTAGTTCTTAGCAGCCCTGGGTAATGCGTTGACGTAGAGCTCTAAGCTGTAGTAATTCATTTAGCTCTTACTTAGAAATATGTCACCCAGCCACCCCTGCAAGCGCCCTTCCCACATGAGTACACACATACACTCATGCATAGCCGCACACCAACCTCACCGGCATATGTTTCTGTATCCTGGCTCCGCTTGATTATGGGGGGGAATTAAAATTCTTATAATTAAATTTCTTGTTAAGAATGTTATGGAAAATTTATGAGAATGTTCTCTCAACCTCAAAGGGCCTTAATATGCAAAAGCCATGATGCAATACATTGTGTTAAGGAAACAATTTTGAGAGTTATTATTATTGACTGTAATACAATCAGTTACATGTTACCCAAAGCGCAATTGGTAGCATGATGTAGCAGTAACTTCCCCCATGTGCAATTGTCTCCGCCCCTTTTACAAATCATTGCTGGAGTAACTCTAGGTTTCTAAAAAAACAACTTGGTTGTTCTGTTTTTTTTTTTGTCAAAACTGTGATATCCTTTCATCTTCTTTATTACGCAGTTCATTTTAATC